AAAATAATCAATTGACAACTAGAGGGCTACATGCAGTCTGTTTCAATGGACTGGTGTCTTTACAATATGGCAAGCTCTTAATCGCCTTGAGTCTAAAATAAAAGTGTCTGGAAGCCTTTGTTTAAGGAAAGGAGTATCATTTATTCCAATATCACTGAACTGTCACATCCATTACCCCTGTAATGATTTTGCGAATTTACAAAAGACTTATAACTGGTTACGTCTTCTTCCTCTGATTGGTTAATAAATCTTCGTAAATCCTTGATAAATAATGTATTATAACACAACATGGTTCAGTAAAACGTCATTTGTTTTATATTAGTTTTACCTCTTTATCAATACAAAAGTGGTCTATTTTTCGTCAAAACTATATTCATTGATGTTTAAGGTAATTACAATCTATTTTGTTAGTCCTTGTCCCATTAATAAAAAGTCCGAATCCATGTTTAGGGGTCCATAATAAATAGTGATTATTCTGTGTTTTAGTCTGTTGGGCTGGTTATCTCTGTCAATCTTCGATTTAAGATTTTTTATTTCTCCCTTGAAATTTTTTTTCAATTTAGAAAAGTAATTGAATCAATCAATCATAGGAATTATATATTTAACTTTATTCTCATAAACCATAGTACAATGGTATAGAGACATATACAAAAAAATTAACATACAAATCATGAAATTTAAGTACAAATGTAATGTAGAGACATAAAGTGTTTACCCAGGAGATTCTAGGCAATCATTATTTATTTGCACAATTTGTTTAGTTGAGACGGGATGTTGCTATTCGGAAGATCTTGAAATTTTAAAATATTTGGTCTGTTTACATGGATGCTTTAAAATAGTTTGTCTTCTTACGTTTATTGCCGTACATTCTAAAATATAATTAAACTACTGACAACGGACAATTACTAGTACGTGTTTCTCTCTCAATATTTTGCCAGCTACCGATTTCAATTCTAAATCTACAAAAAGAAGTAACTCAACTAAATCGGACCAAACCAGGACTTCAATATGCAATCAGTTAACAAGTCACTTTAACTTAAAGTGAGGTCTGTAATTTTTCTATATATGACTTTGAGATAAAAGATACAAAGAACAAACTAGAGGCTCTAAAAGAGCCTGTGTCGCTCACCTAGGTCTATGTGCATATTCAACAAAGAACACTCTCCAACATTGTAGACAAGAATAGAATTCATGCCTTGCTGGTCATTTTTGTTATATAAAGTTTCTATCTATCCATAATAATTTTGATTATATAAGGCAAAACACAAACAAATTGGTAAAAATCGTAATCAAAAGGCAATAACTCCAATAAGGAGTCGTCGGACGATTTCCTTCATTTTGCCTTAATTGTAGATCATGTCTTGCTGATCATTTTTTCTTATTTAAGTTTCAACCTATCTATTATAATTTTCAAGATAATAGGCAAAAATGAAAAAAATGGTAAAATTTGTCATTTAAGGGCAATAACTCCTATAAAAAGTCCACCGACTGTTTTGACATATAAAAGACAATTCGTAGAGCTCAACATTCTGAACATTTTTTGTCTTGTCAGATTTTCTCTATTTATAACGGTTTTCAAAATAATAGACAAAACTTGCATTTTACCCCTTTGTTCCATTTTTAGCAATGTCGGCCATCTTGGTTGGCAGGCGGGGTCATCAGACACATTTTTAAAACTAGATACCCAAATGATGATTGTGGCCAAGTTTAGTGAAATTTGGTCTAGTAGTTTCAGAGGAGATTTTTGTAAAAGTTAACGGACGACGACGGACGGCGGACGCCAAGTGATGAGAAAAGCTCACTTGGCCCTTTGGGCTAGGTGAGCTAAAAAGGAATTGTCACTTTGGTTTGTATTTTATTTTATGGGGTATATGTGTAAGGGTTTCGTGTCATAATTAACGATTTAAATGTGTCTTGTCTTCCATAGCCGTACAGTAATTAACGAATGCAGCATAATCCTTAACCAAAAGTACGGCAGTCAACAAAATACAGCACAACAAATTAGTAACAGTACTACAATCAATCATATACAGCACCGCACCTAACCAAAAGTTCACCAATAAACAAAGAATAAAACACCCTCGCTTAACAACAGTACAACAATCAAGAAAATACAGCACTATACTAGTCATAAGTGCACCAATCAACCAAATATATCACAATCCCTAACGAACAATACATTTATTAACCTAATACATCGCCACTTACCAACAATTAACGAATCAACCTAAATACATCGCCATTTACCAACAGTTCACCAATCAACCTAATACATCATCCCTAACCAACAGTACACCAATCAAACTAATACATCACCCCTTCCCTACAGTTCACCAATCGACCTAATATATCATCCGTTATCAACAGTACACCAATCAACCTAAAACATCATCCCTTACCAATCAACCGGATACATATAAATACATCTTTCATTACCTACACTACACCAATCTATCTAATACATCACCCCTTACCAACAGTACACCAATCAACCTGATACATCATCCCTTACCAACAGTACACAAATCAACCTGATACATCATCCCTTACCAACAGTACACAAATCAACCTGATACATCATCCCTTACCAACAGTACACCAATCAACCTGATACATCATCCCTTACCAACAGTACACCAATCAACCTGATACATCATCCCTTACCAATAGTTCACTAATCGATCTAATTCATCATCCCTTACCAACAGTTCACCAATCGATCTAATACATCATCCCTTACCAACAGTTCACCAATTATTCTAATACATGTTCCATTATCAACAGTACACCAATCACCTTAATACAGTATCCCTTACCAATCAACCTAATACATATGTATACATCTTCCACTACCAACAGTACATGAATCAACCTCATACATGTTTTCGTTACCAACAGGACACCAATTAACCTAATACATCATTCTAAACCAACAGTTCACCAATAAATCTAATACATTTTTCGTTACCAACAGTACACCAATCAACCTAATACCTAATACATCATCCCTTACCAACACTTCACCAATCAACCTAATACATCAATCCTTACCAACAGTTCACCAACCAACTTAATACATTTTCCGTTACCAACTGTACACCAATCAACCTTATACATCTTCCATTACCAACAATACATCTATCAACCCTTACCAACAGTACACCAACCAACCGAATACACTATCACAAATTAACAGCACTATCACTAACGAATAGCACACAAATCAATCAAATACATCACTATTACCAAAAGATCACCAATCATGCTAATGTACCATCTGCACCCAAATACATCACTATAAATCACGTAAATGATGTTTGCTTATTGTCAAGTGGCAAGTATTTCATACATGCTCAGGACGAGATCTAATACTGAGTGACCTGCAAACATTATTAGATGCTCATATATTATGCTTATATCATTGATGGTTAACTGATTTGAAGTTATATTTGGAGTCAACTGTTGCCATATTTTCAATTTTCTTTTAAAAACAACAAGGAATCTGTAAATTTTAATGTTAACAAAACCTGGGAACAGTTTATCTAACATCAATATATATGTTCCTGACAAAACTTATTTATAAATATCTTATTTTATACCAGTATTCCATAGAAGTACAATACAAAAACGGAAACTTTCAAAATGAATTCCTTCTACATTACTTCAGAGACATATAATTGTATTATATGTCTCTGATTACTTTTATATAAACTCATCATAGATACAAGGAGTGAAATTTTGTACGCCAGATGTGCGTTTCTTCTACAAAAGACTCATCAGTTACACTTGATTCAAAAAAAGTTAAAAAGGCCAAATAAAGTAGGAAGTTAAAGAGCAATGAGGACCCAAAATTCCTAAAAGTTTTATCAAATATATTTCCATAGATATAATGAATCATATTCATCAAAACTAATGATGATTTTGATTCTTTGACTTGTCTCTAGTTTGGTAGTCGACCAATGTTCACATGTTTTCTTTAATTTTGTATTAACATAGATTTTAATTCTCAATTTTTCTTTTCATGTACATAACCTGCAAGTTTTATGATATATATAAAAAGAAACAGTCAGTCAAGTCCAGTCTTGATGCAGGTAAAAAATTATTAATTGATTGGTGATTAATGCCACTTTCAGCACTATTGTGCTATTTCCTGGCGGTCAGTTTTTATTGGTGGAGGAAGCCAGAGTGCCTGTAGAGAACCACCAACCTTTGATAGGAAAACTGACAATCCTAGTCAATTAAGATTGCAGTCGAGCACACCTGCCACCTGTGGGATTCTGACAGGCTAGTGATACAGAAGTTCAAAGGTAAAAAATGAAAAATCCATTAAGCTTTTGTGTATATATATTCACTCTGGTGGACAGTTGTCTCATTGGCAATCATCCCACATCTCCTTATTTTCATATGTACTGTTCTTATCATACAACTTATATTTGCAGTTGACAAAAAAAGAAAAAATGCAAATGATGTAAACTGCTTCTTTCTAATATCAATGCAGTGAAAATCTGCATGTGAAGAGAAAGGACGGGGTATCGAATGTTTAAAACTAATCCCTTTTGGCATTCTGTGTCCGTAGCGATTTTCTGATTTCAGAGACTGAATCCTAAAGAGGATTATAGGTAAACCACTTTCAAAATCTTACAAAGACTACAGCCTAAAAGTATTATTGTATAGTGTACTACATGTAGTATATATCAGTATTTAAGACAGCATTAAACATAATTTTACTTTGACACAAGAATGTGTCCATAGTACATGGATGCCCCACTCGCTTTTCTATGTTCAGTGGACCATGAAATTGGGGTCAAAACTCTAATTTGGCATTAAAATTAGAAAGATCATATCATAGGGAACATGTGTACTAAGTTTCAAGTTGATTGGACTTCAACTTCATCAAAAACTACCTTGACCAAAAACTTTAACCTGAAGCGGGACAGTCGGACGAATGAACAAACGAACGCACAGACCGTGGGGCATAAAAACTATAAAAATAACTATGATACATATACTATTCTTTAATATTGATTTAATGATAATTTTGTTCATTTGCTATCCATAGTCTTGAGTATATAAAAGTGGATAACAATGTTGACAAAGAAAAATTGGCATAAGTGCACAAAAAACCTAAAGAATTACAAAAAGAAGTTGAACACATTTTTTTTTTGCTAAACCACTTGTTATTCAAAGTATCAGCAAACGTGATCCACATTGTAGGTGTCTAACAGATCTGTAAAGCATTCAAACTTTATCTGAAAAGCATTCAAATTTTATCTGAAAAGCATTCAAACTTTAAAACTCATCACTGTCAAGCTACTGACAAATTATGAAAATCCTTCTGTTTAGTACCTAGAAAAGTGTGATAAAAAATATTTGTTGGATGAACGGATGGACAGGGTGAATACAATATAGGGGTAAATTCTGAAAAAAATCTCCCATTGACTTCAATGCAAATCTATTCCTTGAAATAATGTTATACCGGGTTCACTTTTAAAAATCAGGAGCTTTTCATATATCATTCATTAAAGTACAAATGAGGCCCCATCTTTTGCACTTATCAAAACATAGAGTCATTAGGTATTTTTTGGCCATTCAATATGGCCTTGTTTACAAACACTGTAGATTCACACTCAATTGACCCCCATTTCTTTTCAACCCTGTAGTAAAAAAATTAAATGCATACAGCATTCATTTTTTTTTAATTTTTAACCCTACTTTTAATCCATCTTATCATAAAATATTTATTACAAATATTATCTACCAATAGGTGGAGCACAGGACTTCAGTGTTATCCAGAAAGCTCTCCCCAAAAAGGGCGGTCTTTGACAATGTATTTCTATTTACTGAATTTATCCTAATGGAGTGAAAGTATAATAATTTACCTGTAAAATGTATTTATGTTAACACCTGTTACTTCAAATCACTGTGTGTATTATCAATGCAACAGTTTAACAATGGACAAAATTGTAAGAATAATAAATGTTGCAATGGAAAATGATTCCTCTGTGAATAAAAACCACCAGTTTTAATACTAAATACAGGTTAAAGACATTTTCTTTGTTGATTTCAAATTTTAATGTGCAAATCTGAAACATTCATTAATCAATTTCCCCCTATTATGTTAGCCTCATGCATTACTGAAGAGACATTATGTGGCAAAATCTACATCTGATACATCAAGAAAATTCCCCTATAATACCATTCTTTTGAGAGAGTTTCCATATATTGAAAGAGCTTATTTTCTTATAAACATTATTAATGTTGTGCCATAAGGAACAGTTAATAGTAATACAAAATTACTGATAATATATTAACTAAATTAAGAAGAAATGTGTACTGGCATAATTTGTTTGGGATTGTCTTACATTGTACAATGTATTACAGATAACTACAAGCAATAACTGAAGCCAACAAAATTTCCACAATTATATGATGTTTGACACCCCCGAAAAAAAAGGATTTCTTTACTAAGTATAAACTCAACATCAATCAAAAGATTTCATGGACTATAAAAATAACTAAAATTAATACAAACAAGCAAATACATTGAAATAAAAACATCACACATTCACGTAAGTACATCAAGTAGAAAAAGACTAATATGCTCAGTATAACTGAGAACATATGTGTTTTTTAAAACACTGTCATAAAATAAGAAAAAGACTGAGAGACAAGCCTCATTGTTGTTTTTCCATGTTAAATAGTGATCAACCACTTTTGCATTTAATGTACCACAAGCATGTCACAATGTATACCGCTACAGTTTGTTATGGTATTACACATCTTGAAATATCTAATAAATTAACTATAGAAATGGATACAACATATAACATGGCATTTCCAATCTGAACACATCCAAACACCATGTAATTGTTCAGCTGTGGGACAAATATATATAAGTAGGTAAATCTTTGATCTTTGACTTTATCTGTTTTTAGTTGGACACCAAAACATATATCATACTGAAAAAGATAACAATGATATTGTCAATTATTAATTATTCATTTCTTCAAAAGGTATATATGGTATTAAAATGAAAATAACTCTTTATAAATTTTGTGTGTCTTCAAAGGCTCATAACAAATTTCTTTTTCATGTACATTTAATTCTGCTTTTTTTTGCTTTTGCATATAGTTCAATTCGAAGTTAATGCTAATAACCATATATTGAACTATTTTCATAATGGTAAATTGGTTTTAAAATTATTATAACAGAAGTATGGTAACATGGTGGGTGTCAGTAGTGGAACAGGAAAAGCCAACTATTCTGGAGCACCAGAGTTAACTCCCAGATTGGTGGGTTAGCATTGCTCAATCTGCATCAATTTTCTCATTCTATAGAAGTGTTTTTATGAAATGTTGCTTGTCTTTTGTCTGACTCGTTTTTTTTTTCTTGGTCATGGTGTGTGTTTTTCGTCCATTGATGGCTTTTATTGCCCCATTGGTATCTTTACCCACTTTTTATTGAAGGATGAAAATGCACAATCATGTACTGATAGATTAGGTAAGTTATTTTAGACAGTCAGTAGATACTTCTATCAAAATTTGATGACAGTTGATTACATGTATCTTACAAAAGAAGCCTGAACAGTTATAGTAAATAATGAATTCAAATTTTATGATTACCAGGGTAAAATAAAAATTGCCTTCGAACCCTGCAAAACATCTATTTCTGGAACAGCCCTTATCCAAACAATAACAAATTATGGCAAATAAAAAAGTTTCCTCTAAAAACAGTTGTGCTGGGACAACATAAATTCGCCTGCCTAAGAATCACAAAAGGATGCAATGATTCCAACAAAAGCCACCAAAGATTTCAGATTGAAACACTAAAAACATCTGTAAAACACCATTATATACTTGAGAACTAAAAAGTCAGCTCTTTATCTATAGACATAACCAAAAAAAATGTTCAGACAAGTACCATTATCATGAAAATTTCTTTGTACGTGGTTTGTAATTCAATGAAAAGTATGTCATCTTATACACAAGAAGATATTAAATAAAAAATTCTTACTAACGGTTGGAATACAGATATGAGTATCACTATACATGTATATGTCCTGTCCACTAAGTGGTGAAGCATTAAAAGTAGTGAATTAGAACCACAGCCATTCTTCAGGTAATAAATGGAGAATGTGTCTATGGAACACAGATGATTGGACATAACATGTACATTGTATCTAGAGAACTGTAAAAGTGATGTACCCTAATTCGAACTTGTCTGTGTTTTATGGTAATTAGCATTGTGTATAAGTTTCATAACATTTGGTTTAGGCAAACTAAAGTTAGAGAAAGGCAACGACAGATTCAGCAATTTTTCCATTAATAAAGGGGCGTAACTCATGAACAGTTAAAAATGACACCACCCAAATTCGAACTGGATCTGTGTTTTGTGGTAATAAGCATTGTGTATCAGTTTTATAACATTTGGTCAAAGCTAACTGAAGTATGAGAATGGAAACTAGATTTGGGACTTACGTAAGGACTGACAAGGGTAAAACTTAATGACCCCTCCGCCACGGCGGGGGCATATAAAGTAATTTATTAGAACCACGGCCATTCTTCAGGTAAAAAGTACTTAACTAGAACCATGGCCATTCTTCAGGTTAAAATAGCATAACACTTTCCTGTTCTTACCTGTATAAGTAGTAAAAGAATGATATAAGATAAAATGCTAATTTGATCCATCCTTCCCTCTGGGCTCTACTCAGCTCATCAGCATTCATGATGGATGTAGGGTCATACAACCCAGGACAACTCATCACAGGTCTGTTCATGTACCTAGAAACAAAAACAGGTTTTCAGGTCATTAGCTTTCTTGTTTGCTTTGTTTTACATTTGTCATTTCGGGGCTTTTTATAGCTTGCTATGCAGTATGGGTTTAGCTCATTCTTGAATGCCGTATGGTGACCTATAGCTGCTTATTTTCTACGTCATTTGGTCTCTGGTGGAGAGTTGTCTCATTAGCAATCATACTACAACAGTGAGTACAACTTCTTATTCTTATATTGATTTACCATAATCTGTCAATTTTTTTCCATGCATAAGAATTTCTGCTAACAAAAACCATTAGTAATTTTTCTTAGATACTTTCCACTTTAATAGCATAAAATAAGTCATCTTTTGTATCCTATTTTTTTAACTCACAGCATGTTAATACTTATATTTAAAAAAAAAAAATTAAAGTATTAGGAATAAATATTTCTTTCACAGGCTGACATATAAATTAAGTAAGAGAATTAGTTTAAATCAGATTTGGAATATTTTTTTAAAATATAGATGGAAAATCGAGGTTTTTAATTTTCATATATATAGTTTAAATGCATTCTTGTACAAATGTATATAACTATGTCTTACCTTCGAACATGATATGCAATTAAAGGTATATTCATTATAAGTGTCCCCCATTGTTGTGCAAATACAAACAGTATCGTATACAACACGTGGATTAAATACTCTGGTAGGACTAACTGTAATAAAAAATTAAATATTTTGATAAATAAAATCAATCAAATTTATATTCAGCAAATTATGAAACTCAGACGTTTACGTTTTGTTCAATTGAAGTTTATTATCTGAGTAACAGATCACTGTCACACTATGTACACATATAGGTGTATTTTTAGTCACTCCTTCACATCTCAAGACAAGCAGCTCAGTTATTGGTAATCAATAATTGATTGACAGAAGTTCAATCATGCTTAACTTCATGTTAGAGAAAACAGCAACTTGCTTATTCAAGTGCACATGTAGCTAGTCATCCTGTTGATAGCTTAATTTTTTTTATTGTGGGCTTTACTTTGATGACATGGACTTTTATGGTCTTGCTAGGCAAAGGGGGTTTAATTTTTGTGTGCAAGAACAACAGACAGTGTCTTTTTATGTTGTAATGTTATACCACTGTTTCAGGTAAGGGTGAAGGTTGCCGCCTGTTAAAACGTTTAAACCCGCTGCATTTTTATGCACCTGTCCTAAGTCAGGAGCCTGTTGTTCAGTGGTTGTCGTTTGTTGGTGTGGTTCATAAGTGTTTCTCGTTTCTCATTTTTTATATAGATTAGACCGTTGGTTTTCCTGTTTGAATTTTTTACACTAGTCTTTTTGGGGCCCTTTATAGCTTGCTGTTCGGTATGAGCCAAGGCTCCGTGTTGAAGGCCGTACTTTGACCTATATTTGTTTACTTTTACACATTGTGACTTGGATGGAGAGTTGTCTCATTGGCGCTCATATCACATCTTATTTATATTATATAAAATGTTGGTGTGGTCTGTTGTAAAGTCTTACTTTAACATTTTTGGTTATTCCTGTTATTCTTATTATGTAAAGTGGAATCCCCTGTGTCCTGGCTGCCGCTGATATGGCTCATTACCTGATTTCGTCATATCCTCAATGTTACATAAATAGAATAGTTCTTGTAATTGTTTTAATTTCCGAAGGACCAGAAAAGATTGAAATTGATAAGTTCAAGCATAAATAATTCATAATTTTACATGAAATCCCATGATTAACCATATTTAACCATTTTCCATAAAAATTATGATATTATTAGAAAAAAATTGGTTTCATTAAACTGATAAAACTTTTTCTCCCCATCCTTGACAGTCTGTTTGGTTTTGTATTCCAAATTAACTATTTTCAGAAGGCATGCGATAATCACTGGACATTTGAAGACCTGTCAAAACAGGGGTTTCTCTAATTTTGGACACATTACACAAAATCGTAAGGGTGAAATCATATATTAAGAAGATTTCATGAAATTTAAGTATGTCATGAATTTGTTCACAATTTATTATCCAATTATTGATTTTAGGAGTTTACCAAATTAAAGCTAGAAGTCTTAGGTGAACAGATACACCGGACTGCACCGTACATATGTATTGCTAAATCGTACCATTTGAAAGGATAGTTAGAAACCTAGTTAAGTTGAATTTTAATCAGAAAATGAGCTTCCAGGTTTTTAAATGTTGTGTCTACTTGATACAGATACTAAGATAGGTTAACTAGTGAGATTATCAATTATGTTACTTACTGGATTAAGACTTCTACATTGATCTACAGGATTCTTGTAATCTGTTTTGAGTTCATCAAAAGCTATTATCTGCAAAACAACATCTTTAAAAGTTTTTATATTACATGTGTCAGAGTATTGCAATGTTAACAGAAAGTTTGTTCAGAAAAAGAAAGGATATTAGATGAGTGTATATGAGACATTAGTCAGTAAAACACTAGAAAACAGGAATCAGGGTCAATATATAGGACACCATGCACTGCTTGCACTTTATTTATGATATGTTCAGTGGATAGTGTTGGCAGGAAAACCTAGGTTTTCTGGTGCTGGGCAATAATTATAAGATATTTTTACAAAGAATAAGTGACATACAAATGATCACAAATATATTGTAGTTTTGTGGTCTTATTGCTAAATTTATACATTTTACATGTTTTATATAACACAAGAGTCATTTTCAGAGGTTAAACCTCAATTTCTCAAAGTTTTGCACATTTTTGGATAACTTGATTATATCCTAGCTATATTCATGATATTTGAGTGATTCCAATGTTTGGAAAAAAAATGCATTATGCTGTACAGTCATGCTGTTGTGTAAAACTGGCTCCAGGCTTTTGGTCCAGTGCAATCACAATAAAAATAAGACAGTAGCATTTTTTTGAAATGTTTAAGGTTCCACTAAGTGAAAAGCATAATCTTGAATGACCACTATTGACAGTTTTAAAAAATATTTGTACAAAAACCGCTCCCCCTTTTTTACATGATAGCAACTAAAGTGTATGACTGACTATGAGTGAATTTAGCCGGGATAAATCAGAACCAGGACAATTTTACACCTGTGATAGACATATCCGAGATGGTGTATAATTGTCTTTTGATTAGGATTTCGAAAATTTAATAATGACTTGGTGCCCAAGTATTACATTCTTGTCAACTGTTATACACACCCAGAATTGCAGAAATAAATTATTTATGAAGAGCGAACGTAAATAGATTTATCTAATTCAATAATTGTATACAAAGCAATTATCGGTAAAACCCTGATTAAACTAACATGAAATATTGCAAAAAATATAAGAACAGCTGATAAGATCAGTGCAAATATGTAACAAAATGCAGCAAATGTGAATGCCATCGCAAATCCTCGCCTACAATTTTTTAACGGAAGTTTATATATGGTTGAAAATAACCATCTCTTTCAGGTTCAGATAGGATGTTCCGGACGTGAGATATCTGTGGTTGGTTGCTGGGGCAAACGGACAGAATATTAAAGGAAAAAGGTTCACAATTAGCTAGTTTACAATAATTTTATATAGAGAAAAATCTTGAAATAATTTCGATTTTTACAACTTTAGAAATTGTCCATTAGCACTGATAAATGAATCAATCAACGTCGGCCGGCCTGAATTATGTAAAACAATTATCACGGCGAACCCTGTTAAAAGTAATTTTTCAGCTTTAACTTTTCAATGAAATATTCTGAATCACAAACGAACGGTTGATGTTCCAAAATACTGATACTTTTTCGAAGAATCTCCTGTAGTTGGCGATCACAATACTGGTATAAAAATTTTGTACCAGTAATGTATTCCAGTATTGTGTTTTTTTTTTAAATAAACAATACATATAGGTCATTAATTTCTTGAATTGATTTAATAAAATATAGAAATATGATAAAATGAATAGCAATTATTTCATATACTTAACAATTGTTTGAATAATATGAGTTAATTACAACGAATGATCTTTTGTTTATTTGTATCTGTTTGGTTTTAATTAGGGCTTATGACGGTATCATGATTATTTTTAAGTAGTTGTTAATTAATTTCATAATTCAATTATCCTCTTTGTGACCTGTCTGTTATGAGAGATCTTATTATGTTTAAGGCGTCTGATAACCTTGGAAAGATCTGCAATGGCTGTATATATGATGATAGACTTTTTGGGCTTGCTATGCTCGATGCCAATAGATATGACCTGAAGTCCATTACTAGACTAATGGACTTCTGATATGACGAAATGACTTTGAAATTGACAGGGAAATGGGCATTTGAAGTTTGCCGGACAGTTTCTGATAAAATCGTAGATTTCGAATTAAGAGAGATTTACTTCTAGATTGACAATCGACAGTTTGTTATAACTAGAAATAGTTATAAACACATAATTTCTGATATTTCATGTTTTTTTCTTGTTGGTATAAATACACCAACCATTCCCTTAGTGTCCTGTCAGGAAAACGCAGGTTTTCAATATAAAGAAATATTCGCGGAGCCACAATCCCCACACCCCTCAGTTCCCGACAAGGAGTGCGCGACAGCCGTGATATGAAAGGTGATAGTAGCAACGATTCGTTCTTATATACGATTAGAGACATATGAATATAAGCAAACTCGCGTTTCGTCTACATAAGACTAATCAGGGATGCTACAAATAACGTGTCTGGTTTTTTTTTTAAATTGTTTTGCGTGTCAATAAAAAAAAAACCTTTCCATCAACAGACAAGCCAAGAAAAAACACACACAAACCTGAAAACTTGATAAAAACACGGCCATAGCAACCTAACATGCCTTGCATATTGTTTGATGACAAATTTTAACACCAAATTGTTCTTGTTCAAAACTTTTATCTAGCAAATTAGTCCTAGACATCACAGAGCATATAATGATTTTATTTTGATCCAAGTAATGACTTAAGACATACTAACTTAAGTTCAAATGCCGCTTCGAAATCCTTTTTTTTCACAGTGTTGTTGTTATTTTCAAAATATTTTTTTATAAAGTATATTTGAAGCACTTTATTAAATATCCTCTCAGTTTTATTTGCATACGGTCGCATTAATTTTTACCCAAAGCAATGTAAAATATATTATTTTTGGAGAAATTCTAATTTAAACTATTATTTAACGGTAAGGAATTTCATTCTTTCAAAAAGTCGCTCAGGTGGTGGACAGTTTCAGTTTCAGTACGAATTATTGCTCTGTAATAAGATTCATGAGGGTCATTCTAGATGCTTACCATTTCTCCTTTGGTGTCTAGTATTCAAATAAACTTTGCGTAGCTGACAGAAAAACAAAAGAACTAAAAGAAACTAGAAACGAGTAGTCAGGAATAATTGTTTTCACTTGGAACAACGTGTCTTGTTGCGTGGTATAAGGATAGCGGGCTCGCATCTTAGAGCGGAAGGTCGTCAGTTTGATACTTGACTGGGTGAAAACAAATAAAATATAAAAGATAACAGGAATTAGGTTAAAGTTGTCATTTTCTTTTTCTTTTACGGCAGGTTTTGATGGTCAGTGGGAAAAAATATTATAATGTTTTTGAAAATAATAAAAGTAAGATTTTTGAAATGAAGATAACACTTTATAAATGTTGTGCACCTGAATTTGCCTTCAGCAGGATCACCCTAACCCAAACATTATAATGCACGCAGGGGAATATGAGGGTCGTAATGGGGGTACCTTCATGACGAATAACGGTAAAAATTCTTGCCAAATGACGTTAACGGTAATTTTTGCTGCATGACGATAAAATGTACACTTTCTTTTAGACGTTAAAAAATCGACAGATTTTGACGAATTACGTTAAATGTTTTCCAAAAATAACGGTAACGATAATTATTTGAGACCTCTGACGAATCACGACAAGGATGTTTTGACGAATCACGGTAAAATTTTAACCAGTATGACGCTAACGGTAGCCGAAAATGGCAGTTTGACGCCTGACGGTAAAGGGCATTACTACCCTCGAGTATGAACTTATGTAGAAAATTTAAGAGTTATCTGTAGGAAATAAAATGAACAGTCAAAATTTATATTAAGTCAACTTCAACTGGGGACATTTGAACAGTTTAATTATATTTTCTAATCTAGTACACCGTACTATCTCGAAAATGTAACTATTTGTATATACAAATGATACTGGATTGATTGATAGGTTGATTGTTTGGCTTACGTCCAATCACAAATATTTCATGCATGTTCAGGACGAGGACAAGTAACTAAACATAAAAAAGGTATATCCTGCAAAATTGGTCAAGCTGGATGACAAGCGGAAAATTTGGAATGCCACTAGGAAATTAGGGTGTAGCAGTATTGGATATGGACAGAAATTAAATCTTTGCAACACGACCTCATTTGCAAAGGTTATACTGTCGATCAGAAGACCATTAAATGTGACCGTATTTTTATACCCCAGTCACTCTTGGGGTCAATAATACTGGAAAAATGGGTTTAAAACTATTTGTATGCAAATAATAATGGTAAAAAAAATAGCGGGCGGATCCAGGGGGCTGGTAATATCCAAGAATGTCCAGTATTGGTATTTGTTCAGTTCCTTTTTCTTATTTTTAAATGCTGGTTCCACTTATTTTCCGACAGGCCCCTCCTCCTTCTTTTACAAAGTCCTGGATCCACGATCGAAATTTATCGGAACTAGATATCATTGAGATGGGAGCCATCTCTGTGGGCCCCGCTGTGAATAATGTGTGGTAAAAAATTTGTATCTTTATCATTGGACATGGGGTTGTCAAATGAAACCAAAGTTTTTGACCTTGACCTTTGACCTAGGAAGTTGTACATAAATTATGACACACTCTCTGGTGTTGGTTTATATACATATCAAGTATAAACTTTGAAATCATAACGGTTCTCAAGATATAGAGCGGACACGATCTTTACCATAGGACATGGGGTTGTCAACTAAAACCAAAGTTTTTGACCTTGACCTTTGACCTAGGAAGTTGAACATAAATTATGACACACCCTCTGGTGTTGGTTAATATACATGTCAAGTATAATCTTTGAAATCATAACGGTTCTCTAGATATAGAGCGGACACGATTTGTTACGGACGGACGGTGGGACAGACGGACGGACGGACAGACAGACAGACGGGCGGACAGACTGATCACTATAGGGCGGCCGCCATTTGGCGGGGCCCTAATAAATAACCCCAATTCTAACTTGATATTTAATTAGAGCTCTTACTCAAAATGTGCATCGTACCCGAAGTTTAAATAGAAATGTGACACGAACTCGAACTAGGACTCGGAAATTTAATTCATAGTGTAACTTGAACGAAATTTAACTCTAACTCGAACCTTTACTACCAAGAATAACTCAGATCTATATTTCACACTTATATAATTGGTTTTGGTAAAGCTCCAAGTTCGATTTGTTTGTTTGCTTTTAAATGACATGCTGCCCTTTTTACTTAGTATGATCTGCACTTTTAAAACAAGACCAGTTTCTCAGGAGTTCACAAGTCACACTTTCATGCTAGAATAACTTTGGCCAAAGCCAGCAAAAGCCATGCATACAAATATATATAGAGAGAGTTTGTCATCAGAACTACTTCTACTTTATAGTCCATTGACTCACTGTTTAGTCCAGATAAGTGAGCAACAATTGATTTGGTTGAGGGTCTGTCTTGTGGGATCTGACATTTTCTGACGAGCAGATCATCACAAGCGTATGAACCCATTGACATGAATCAAACTTTGATCTTAGAACTTCAACTAATCAACCAACCCTAGTCATAGGTCAATGAAGACAGACCTCATTATTTGATATATGAATCAAGACAAGGTCGTTACTTGGACACCAGAATTAACCTTGACCTTTGATCTCAAATCTTTTTACATACTAAAGTTCATTGATCTGGATGGGATTTAGTAAATAGAGAATAATGGGCAAAAAATTAAGAATGGAGAAAAATAGATAAAAAAAAAATGATAATAATGAGGTGGTTAAACATAATGAATAGAGAATAAAGGATAAAAAATTAAAATATAAGATAGAGAAAAAATATTTAAAAAAAAAAACATATATACAGAACTATAGACACCCACACCCAATCCAGACCCTCATGGTGATTATATAAAATTCTCTTCATAATAAACTTGTCCTTCTTAAACAGGTGACATCTTTGATCATTTTGAATGAAAGTTTTGTCAACCTTCTATTACCTCCTTTGCCACTACTTTCTTTCTATGTGTACTTATCTACAAGAAATATATAGGTTTTAATCATACTGCTGGTGTAGATTAATAAATTCGAGGTAAAGGTATAATCCAATTTCCATTCCATTTTTATACCCCGCTCTTTGAAGCTAGCATTATACAGTGATGGGGGGGGGGGTTGTTGTTGTTGTCCATTCCT